GGTGTTGTTCCTTGCAAACTAGCATTCCCCTAAGAATCTAACACTTACCGGAGCCGCTCGAGGGGTAGAGCGGAACATGAGGCAGAGTATTTGAGGAAACTAAAAGAGATGGAAGACAGAATGGAAGCATGGATTGAGGTGACCGTTGAAGCGCGAGTCGAGCAAATTTTGCTGTCCAAGGGGTTAGTAGTACCACAAAATCCTACTCCTAGTGCCTTTAGCCCACAGTTTAGGGGTCGCAGCAGCTGCGGATCGACCCCGCTTGATGAAGAAGAGGCGAATGTGCCTCATCCGTTGGACGACATCACTGAACCCGTCAATGTCAGGTTGTACATCCATCAGGAATGGACAAAGGACAAGGTGACGCTCGGCCAGGCCTGGCCTACGGGAGACGAGATAATTAATGGCCGCCCAATTCCACTGGGGTATGTTCGCGTCACCATTGACAGAATACTTGATAAGAAGTATAACAAGATACCCATTGAGTACCCCATAGTGGAAGACAGGCCGAAACTTGGTCAAAACAAGGGCTCTCAAGTGGCCTGGCGCAAGCGCTTCATTAAGCTTGACCATCAATTGTCCTCTGATGATGAGGACGACTACGAGTCTTTGCCCACCCGTGATGATCACTCACCATCTCCCAACAGAGATCGCTCCCCTCCTCATCTGGAGCCATCACCCCCGAGAAGATAGAGGTCTCCTTCTATTCCTCCTCGTTCGAATCCATCTTCATCAGCCTTGAGAAAACAGACTCCTCCTCCTCCATCTTCATCTGTGCCAGGAAAACAGAATTCTCATCGTCATCCTCCTCCTCCACCTCTGCCCAAAACAATATCAAGGACATCCTCGCAGTCGCAGAAAATGTCCTTGGATTCGATCGCTAATGCTCCCAAAGTGGACCAATAGAAAAGAAAAAGTCCGTTCAGTGGCAGCGTTACCACCTTGATAAAAGAAAAATTTACAGCACACATCTCGAAGGAAGATTGTGTTAGTTTCTTCAATCTCTATGCCTCACTGCCTTTATTTTTGTTGAAGTCCGAATTCAAAAGGCAAACACAGAATAAATACGCTACAACAAGAGACGAAGAAATACACAATAAAGATTTAAGGAACATACAGAAGTACGTCGAAGACAACCCAGGATTAACCATGGAAGAGGCCGCGACCATCTATTATGATGTACAAGGGACGGCAACACCGGCAATGAAGTATGAAAGGGGCAATCTTTTGGTTCCCGATCATGAGTATAAAATCTGACAACATATATGCGCCAGTTACATGAATATTACATGGCTCAAGCAACAGAGATGGACGACTTTGGTTTTGAGGTTATTATCCGTTCGCCACATGTTTTCCATTATCCTGAAGAAGGGAAGTTCGATGTCGAGTGGGAGTGCTTGTTCTAGCTATACCAGAAATGCTCTCTCGATGTTCAAATGTTGACGCTGTGGACTATGTAAGTACCTACACGCACGATTTTACAATTAACTACTCTCTCGAGACACAAATTGTTAACTTTTGAGCACTTCCCATGTTTTTATGTAGGTGTATAGCAAAATTTTGCATTCTAAAAAGCAAATGGGATTACATAGGCTTCTTGGACCCCATGCGAGTCAATGAGAGGACATGTCTAGGACTCTATGGATGTGATGTGGAAGACCTGAAATAGAGATTGATTGCTGTTTTCGACGAATTCATGATGTAGAAGAAAACCCACATACTTCTAGCCTACAACTGCGAGTATGTGTTCTCGGCTTTTAATTTTATGCTTCTTTTTTCGTTAAGATTATTCGATAATTAGGATTCTATGATTGCAGCAACCATTTCGTCTTCATTTGTGTTAATCTTGCCAAAAATCTACTCAAGGTGTGGAACTCGAAGAAAAAACCATTTCATCATCTGGATGCACTGGTGGCAGTGCTGAATTAGTAAGCGATCCTAATAACATATTATTTTCTAATCACACATACTATTTTCTAATGTTTCTCCTTTTAATGTTGCTCAGTGTCCGAAGAGGACATATCGGTGGGATGCCGGTCCCATTCAAGGTTGTCGAAATGGAGGGGAAGTACCTATCACAGCCGGCGGGAAACAATGGATGCGGGTTTTATGTAATGTGGGCAATACTTCGCTACATCGGCGGGAAATCAGAAGAAGCAGATAAGTTGGTGTGTATAATCCCCATTTCATTTATGTCTGTTAATAATTCAACAAAATGATTTACTGCTACTCTTTGGATATCATCTTTTTTGAATGACAGCGCAAGAAATATAATCACGAAAGGCTGTTAGACATGGAGATCATCGCACTGCAATCGGAGCTGGTAAAATTCATCTTAGCCGAGGTATCGGAAAAAGATGGAGTATTTTCCATTACAGAATCCGTGAAGTACAAGGACCAGTATGGCCCAGAGCGGCTCGCCAGATTATTGTAAGAAGTACGAGAAGCATGTGTGAAGTCCAAGAACATTTCTTTTTTATTTTGAGGGATCGAGATGTGGATAAGAACATTTGAATTGTAAGCGTAACATTTATAATGTTTAATATTGATGGACCTGTCATCTACGTAGCGTATATAAAACGAAACCCGTTTCCATGAAAAAATATAAATTAAAATAAATTATAAAACAATAAAATACGAACGGGCCATCACCGCCGGTTAGCAACAAACCGGCAGTGTTGTCGTAACCATCACTGCTGGTTAGAAACAAACCGACAGTGTTGGCTTGCTCAACACTGCCGGCTTGAACCATGAACCGACACTGATAGTTACGACAACACTGTCGGTTTGATCCATGAACTGACACTAATATTTACTACAACACTGCCGGTTTGATCCATGAACCGACAGTGTAGGCTTGCTCAACACTGCTGGCTTGAGCTAAGAACCGACACTCTTAAAGCAACCGTCACTATCGGTTGGCACTACAAACCGGCAGTGTTCTTCAACTGGACACTGTCGGGTGGAGCCAGGAACCGACATTTTTTCCTATAGATCAGTGTCGGTTTTTAAGGACCGGCAGTGATATCAACCCCCATCACTGCCGGTATGCCACTGTCGGTTCAAAATCCGGCAGTGAAGTGGGTTTTTGAACCGGTAGTGATGTCCAGATCTGGGGTAGTGATGGATAGATATAGGCAGACCACATTGGAGAATATGGGCTATAGGGACACGAATACATGCTTGGCCCACAGGCCCAAATAACAATTCTTAAGGACAAGATGAATACATGAGTGAGTTATTCGTAAAAAAATCAGCTAAAACAAAACTAATAATGGTTTGAATGTTGGTATTTGGCTTGATCTTTATGAATAGACAATTATGGTATTCTATATTATTTTTTATAAATATTTAATATATGATTTAAATAATTATTTATTTATGACTTTAGAACCATCCATTTGTATTCATATTCAAGAACATTCAAATTCGTATTTTGTAGGTACTATCAGGGTCGATGCTAATGGGGCCTGGCAAATGCTTACAAGCATACACGCACACTCATCCAAATGAGTTGCCACACTGGAATATATTTAGGAAAATAGGAGCAAGTACATCGATGACTACCACAGGGTGTCAGGTTCCATCACAAGAAACCTGAACAGATGAGCTACACTCAGTTCACATGTATTGAATATCTTTGACCGACCCCTCTATGTATAATTCCAGTCTTCGGCCCATGATAATGGGTGTGTTTGGATCCTTGGCCGTATCTTGCCTCGCCTTACTTGATAAGGAATTGTAAGAGAGCCAAAGGTTTGGTTGAGTGGCGAGTTGCATGGAAGCTTGTGATGGCAAGCAAAATCTTTGCCAGAGCCCGAGAGCGCATTCGGCTTGCTCGGCTGGGTGAGTTTCTTGGATTCCATATAGGTGAGGCGAGTTTCCCTGAAAAACCAAATGCGCATAAATGTTTACAGTTTTCGGCTCTGTTATAACACTATGAGGAACTCATGAACCTTTAGTACACTCTAGCCAACTTTTGCAGTCCAGGTCGATGGAGGTCTGCGCCTTCCATGAATATATTTTTATTTGTTGTATTGGATATTATTGTTATATTAGTTCTATGGCATTGAAAGAACATTGTTTTTAGAATATACCATTGGAAGATTTCAAGTGACACATCTTATTTGAAGAGGTTAGAAGCCGAATTGTATTCATTACCTAAAATAATTAGCTTTTTTCAATAAACACATATATGAAAATAATTAACATTGGCCATTAAATATTATAATTTCTACCAGTAGAAATATTATGGCCTTTTTTTGCACCGAGCGTACCTTTTCCCTCCTTGTAATTGGTGAAAATTGTTCCCTCCAAATATCCATTCCGCAATGACGCTACTTTCCCTCCAATTACTCAGTGATTTTTTTTCACTCTCGCCATATTGCATCGGACGTCAACATATATATACAGCAATAAGGAGTCCTTTTCATCTACGAAGAAATAAGCCAAGCCATTCCGTGAGAGGAGAAATAGGCAACCATAAAGTCCGCAAGGTGAGTACTAGTATTTTCTATCTTTTTTTCCCTCTAACCCTCCGCCATCTAGCAACCGATAGTAGCCCCCCATGATTACTCCTTGGTCAATGCAGCCACAAAGGCTGTGCTTCACCATCCTCACGGCCGGACGCCTCTGCGGCACATCTCTGTGCTGCTGATATCACCTGCCCCAAATTTTCGATCCATGCCGCTGCACATCCTATCATCCTGGCCCTGATCCACACTGCCACCGCCGCTGCCACCCCCATCTCCACGGCGCTTTCCTCACACCCTGACCATCCGTGACGATGCGATGCCTCCGACTCTACACCGACACCCCGGCCTTCGATTCGTCAAGATGCATTGCATCCATGGCTGTCCTCGACACCAACCCTTGCATATTGTTGCGCTAGGGCATCCATGCCTCCTGCCCACTCCAGCATTCATGTTTATCAAATTGTTTTTTTAGATTATTTCTTTTGGCAAAATCTTCATTGATTCTATTGCTATTTCACAGGGAACATGGCTCCACGGGCAGCTCGACGGACTGTTGATGAAATTGATAGAGAATTTGATGAGTTGGCCTCTGTTTTATCTGATCCAAGGGAGCAGTTGATCACCTCTGGTATATATAGGATTCTTACATTCAGTTCCATTAAATATTTTCTCTGCATAAAAAAATATGATGTATTGTAGCATGTTACATAAGAGAAAACTAGGAAAGTAGCATTTTCTGCAGCCATGTTTATAGTCCAATGTTTCAATTACGCTTAGGAAACTTTCATGATCCTATCAGGAACTCGGTATCTTAATATTGATAGTAATTCCATTAATCTCCACCAATTGCACCGTAAGCTAACCAAAGCCTGTTAGTTCTCATACAATTGAATGCGCCATGACTTGTTCATATGTATGAACTAGAGCAACTATGAACACTTGTGGCTTGTATTCTTGTTGGTATAAAAAATCCTGCCTTTATAGAATGGTTTATTCCTACAGGGGAAAGAACAAGCAGGTTACGTCCACGTGCCTCTCGAGCTGACAATACAAGTGATCATTTGGATTCAGATGTGGCCATGGACGAAAACATTAAAATAAATTCTGCAGCACATAACACTGTAGGTGTTTTGCTAATCTGAAAATCTTTCTGTACACTACTGTTCATTTCACTAAATTACCTAGAATCTCTTTCAGTAAATTAGCTAGGCTCTGTTATACTATCTGAAATTTGTTTATGTACACTTCAGATTACAAATATGAAATATTACATTTACTTATTGTTGTTTCCCCCCCAATATTAACTAGACCCTGCTAAAAAGAGTGGTAGAAAAGTTACAATTAATGATCAACTTCGCAAGAAAAGAGCAAAAGGAAAGCATATTGATATAAAGTTCCCTAAAGAATTTGCAAAAGTGTGTGGAGAACATGCTAGTTTATTTAAAAGTGAGATCACAGTTCTTGTAAGAACTATACCACTCCAAGTGAAGAAGTGGAGGGACATGAATAAGTTTCATGCTGGTACTACTTCAGCTATTTGGAGAAAACTAAAGGTGACCTACTTTTTATACGAAATAAATATATTTGGCATGCATAGGTTATCATTGCATTCAGTGGCTGCTTACTATATCATATCTTTGTTGTACAGCAAAAGTTTCCTGAGCTTTCCGAACAAGATAAAGATTATGCCATGAGACAAGTAGAGAGTCAGTACAATAATCGGCGTTACCGTCTGCTTCAAGCTTACCGAAACAACAAGCCAAGGCCACAACATGTCTCACCAGAAGGTTGGCAATGGCTGATAAAGAATTTGTGGATGGATGATGATTTTCAGGTACATACAACTCATATCCTAAATTACAGTGCGGCATAATTATTAATGCAATATCTATGTAATTTGTGAACTAGAAAAGGAGCAACCAAAACTCTATCAACAGAGGAAAGCAAGAGATGGGTTCCAAAGTAGGAACTAGATCAATTGCTCAAATTGCTTATGATCTAGTGAGTAAATTTTTTTACCTCCTACACATTGTTCTAAATTAGTGAATATATGCTTTTTTTATTCCAATGTAGCGAGACCCAGAAACTGGTGATTGGCCTACTGCTATACAAGTTTGGAGGGCTACATACCAAAAGGCTGATGGGACATGGTCTATTCCAACCGGTGAAGAAATAATGGTATGAACATGTTACTTCCCCTTGTGATGGCATCTTTAGGTTTCACATTTATGTCACATTTTGAATTAGGATTAGGTGGAAATGGTGTGCTTTTGTATGAAAAAAATATCGTAGTAGAATTTTGTACCACTCTTTCATGTTATTATGTCTGCAACATAGTTTCTGATGTATTGTTCAGTTAATGAGTTGAAAATTCTAGCCACTATGATATGTTTGCAATATATGACATGGTACAGCTCTAACCATGAACAATTTGTTTTATTAAGCTGTTTGTAAATTTCATATATTTTATTTATTAGATGACATGTCTACAGAATTTTTCTGAACAGCAGCTACTCAGAACATGTGCATGTTACACTATCCTGGAGCGAATTTGTGCTCATACTTACTATTCATTAGATGAACGCTTTTTTCTGCTGTATAGTATATGTGTTCTTAATTAGTTCGTTGTTTCATGCTTTGCAGACCAAACTACATGAAGTTACTGGGACACATCAAGAAAAAGATTTCTTTTGCGCCCGTGCCAATAGTGGAGCACTTCGCACTAGTTCTTGGTCGAAAGCTAAACCATTCACATGGTGTTGGCATTCGTGCTGTAAACCGAGTAGCAGAGGAAAGGATCAGATTGCAGGCACAAATCGAGGCGCTTCTAAACAGCGTGAAGCTGCAGCTCGAGCACGTCCAGATGCTGCTGAGCAACGTGCTGAGGCTGCTGAGCAACGAGCACAAGCTTTGGAAGGCCAGGTCTCGACGGTGGTCGAAACAAATGCACAGTTACAAGCAAAGCAGCAATTCCAAAGTGATGAGCTTAGTTCTTTGCGTCAAACAAAGAGTGGAGAAGTTGCGCGTCTAGTGAGAGAGCAACTTGATCAACAAATGGTGGATTTCTTTGCGCGCATTCATTCTGGTGCTTCGCAGTCTCCACCATAGAGTTTAATACCCATAGTTGAATAAATTATTTGAGATTTGAAAGTAGTGTGTGAGTTATTTTGAGAGTTCAAGTGTTATTAATTTTTGTGTATTGCTGGATTGCAACATTATTATGGTTAAAGATTTATTGAAATGAAATGTTATTGGTCTATAGTTGTGAGAATTGTATTGGTACATATTTGTTGAGCCATTTTTGTTAGTACAACATGGGTGATAATGATAAATCGTTTGCCACATCATCTATTGTTCCACCAATTGAGGCTTTATCTTGTGACAAAACTTGTCATAACTAATATTTTCACACAAATGCTATGTTTTTTAGTGATGAAATTATCGACACAACATGTCTTGTTAATTTTCACAAAAAGATCATATTGTGAGGAAAAGTTTTGCCTCTGTAATATATATGTGAGGATGAGTTGCATCACAAATAAAATGCATTTGTGTTGATAAGGCTCCACTTTTTCGCATATAAACTGTGGCGATCAACTAGACACAATTGTAACTAAAATAGTGAGAACAAATTTCGACAGAGTAAACGTGTATAATGGCGAAACTTTGGTCACTGATATGTAGTCTTTAGTGACTATATAATTTGTCACTTTTACAATGGTAACTGTGACGACCGAATTGTCACAAATACTCTATAGTTGTGTCAACTATTCTAACGACTAAAAACATTATAAGTGGCATTTTTTTGCCACTAATACATATGTTTTTGTGGCAACAAATGGGGTCACAAATGACCACATTACTAGTGGCACCGCAGTTTGTCACTAATGAGTATGGTTATTTTGGGGAACAAAAAATCATCACTAGAGTATTTGTGAGGTGAGTATCTGTGGCGACTAGTGGCGATTTAAAAAGACGCCACAAAGGCTGGTTTGTGGCGAAAAATAAGCTTTTGTGATGAAAATTTTCACCACAAAAACCCTTTGTCCTTGTGGTGCGCCATGTCTGCATCGCTGAACACAGTGAACTGCAGCCTACTTCCGCTAGTCATGGGGAAGACGATCCCCTGATCCATCGTCCCCTTGACGTAGCACAGTAGCCGCATCACCGCAGCCCAGTGACCCTCTCTAGGATCCTCCATGAAACGACTGACGTAGCCCACGATGAACGCAATGTCCTGCCTCGTGTGGACTAGGTAGCGTAGACTGCCGATGATGCTCCGGTAGAGTGTTGTATCTACCTTCGCCGTGGTACTGGCCTTCATCAGCTTGAGCCGCTCCTCCATTGGAGTCACACACGGCTTGCACTCAGCCATACCACTCTTCTTCAACAGCTTCAAGGCGTACGTGCTCTGACCGAGCGTGAGCGCCTCCTTTCCCTGTCTTACCTCAATGCCGAGGTAGTAGGAGAGCGCGCCGAGATCGCTCATTCGAAAACGAGCCACCATCTCGCGCTTGAAGCTGTCGATTTCCTCCGCACACATGTCAGTGACGATCAAATCGTTCACATACACGTCGATGATGAGCTCCTCCTTCCCCATCGCCGTGTGTAGAGCGCGTGCTCGGTTGCGCACCGTGTGAACCCAAGCTCGCCCAACGTGGAGTCAAGCTTGGCGTTCCACGCTCGCGGGGCCTACCGTAGCCCGTAGAGCTCCTTTGTGCAGTCGGAGCATCCTATGCTCCGCTCCCTTGACGGCGAAACCCGGAGGTTGCCTGGCGAAGACCATCTCCGCCAGCTCGCCATTGAGGAAGGCCGATTTTACGTCTAGGTGATGGACGCGCAAGTCCTTTGCTGCTGCCAAAGCCAGAAGAAGTCGGACAGACTCCATACGCACTACCGGTGCAAAGACTTCCTCGAAGTCGATGCCCTCGTGCCGGAAAAAGCCTTGGGCGATGTGGCGCGCCTTGTGCCTGACAATGGCGACATGCTCGTCCCGCTTGACCTTGTACATCTACTTTAGGCCGATCAGACGACATCCTAGAGGTGGATCGACGAGCTCCCAAGTCTCGTTTTCCTTGATCGCCTTCATCTCCTCCAGCATCGCCCGTCGCCAGTTTGCGTCGCGCTCGGCCAGCGCGAATGTGGGTGGTTCCTCTGCACTGATGAGAAGCAGCTTAGGGTCATTGAGTAGCCGACCCACCAGGCCTATGGGCCCTGTGCCGCCAACGATGTCGTCCAGCCTACAGAACCGCGCCTCCTCACCTTCGTGGTAAGCATCCACGAACTCAGTGATGTCACTTGGAGGTGAGGTGAACTTAATCGGCATTGATGGAGTTCCCTGTTCCACCGGAGTGATCGGCACAGCACCTAGAGTGCTCGGCACCTCGGCTACAGTTCTCGGCACTACTCCTAGACCGATCGTCAGCACTCCAAGAGTGTTCAGCCCCCGTCTTGGAGTGGTCGGCACCACTGCAAGACCTCTTGGCTCCGCTACAGGAGTGTTCGGCATCCATCCTGGAGTGGTCGACACCACTGCAGGACCGCTTGGCACCACCCTAGGAGTGCTCGGCTATGTTGCTGGAGTGCTCAGCACTCCCTCTCCACCATCTTCACCACCGTGGATGACCAAGTGCTCCCATTGATCTCCGGTCCGGAGTTAGCCGAGCACTCACTAGTGTTGCCGAGCACTCACTAGCGATGCCGACTACGATGCTATTCGTTGGCGACCACACACTATGGCTAAAGGTAGAAGAAGGAAGGGAGAACAGAGCATACACACACAACAGAAGCACCAGCGTTGGCCGGACCTCTACAAAGGAGATGGCAAAGCTGAACTCGCTCTTTACTGAGTTGCAATGGCAAACTATATACAACTCTACCCATCTAATCCTAGTATGCAGACATGTCAGGCTCACATGCTGCTAAAGAGACTAAATGTGACAGCAGGGCTGACTTTGCCTCCTGCCCCTGCTGTGGTCACAGTGCGGCAGGAGAGCCATTCGGCGTCTGCCCCTGCTGTGGTCACAGTGCGGCGGGAGAGCCGTTCGGCGTCTGCCCCTGCTATGGCTACAATACCACAGCAGGGAGCTTTTTCAGCGCCGCCTTCCCTTGCCAGACGTTCACACAAGGGAGCAGTAGATTACTTAACATTTACGCTTCCCATGAAGTTATAGCCAAATCTTTTGCGTATTCACCTTACGCTTCAGACTTGTAGAGGCAAGGGTCCCCATTTATATCCAACTTTTGCCATCCAGCAGTGACTAACTGAACCTGAGACACCCCTCAAGTACTTGGCCAAATTAAATCTTTAATGGTTGCATGTCCTAGAAATAATGTTACAGAGGGGGCCATTAGCTAGAGCCCTCTTAATGAGGCATTTCTTGATCCAACCAATGGTAAAAGAAAACTGGCCGAAACACATCTTAAAATCATTTACGTAGTAGTTTTGGTTTTGTCAGGACCAGAGTGTGTCAATAATGTGTCTGTTTATTAGGAAATCAATGTGGTTCAATAATCATACATGCTACCATCACTAGTAGAGAACAGGCCTTTGATCCTCGGCAAAAATGGGCTCTAGTCCCGGAATTTTTTGCGCCCGGAATTAGAAATACCTTTAGTCCCGGTTGGTGTCTCCAACCGGGACTAAAGGTCCCTGCCCCAACGGCTACTGCGCCAGACAGAGGTGGCAGGGACCTTTAGTCCCGGTTGGAGCCACCAACCGGGACTAAAGGTATACTTTTACTCCCGGTTGGGGGCTCCAACCGGGAGTAAAGGTCTACTCCCGGGCCGTGGCTGCGCCCGGGGTTGGAAAGTTACCTTTAGTCCCGGTTGGAGCCACCAGCCGGGACTAAAGGTCCCCCCTTTATATCCCGGCCGGCTCCTCCTTCCTCCCCGAGCCCGAGCTCAGCACATTTTGAAGCTCACTACAGTAGTGTTCTTGCTTCCTCCCTCCCTCCATTGTTCCTCCATCCATTATTCGATTCCTCCATCGATTTCTTCGATTCCTCCGTCGATTCTTCAGTTGTAAAGGTTACCAATCTCATACTCTCATTTTTCACCATTGTCTTATCTCATTTTGTTCACTATATATATATGGTTCTTTATTTTGGTTTTTTTTCATTTGTAAGCAATTTGAGCTCAAAATCACTTCAAGCTTGCATATTTACAAGAAATAAGGTTAAAGTAGCTAGTTGAACTTGCGGACCGTGTTCATCTCGGCGAGCACGTTCTCTGCCGAGCGGTAACGGACGTCAAGGAGGAGCTTTGATTCTACGAGGGAGAGCGGCAACGGTCGTGGAAGACCGTGTTCCCTTCCTCGTAGAATTGGAGCTCTTCCGTGGTCAAGTACGGTGCCGTCCTGTGGAGACATGTTCACCGAGATGATCACGTAAGCAAGGTCAACTAGTACGGATGGTTATTTATTCACATGTCCTGATATCGTCGCAGTAGTCTGTCAATCACCGTACCCAAACGTAGTATATATATAAATATAAACTTAGAAAATAGTTAGAAAATTATAGAAAATCCATACTAGTTGAACTTGCGGACCGTGTTCATCTCGGCGAAGCACGTTCTCGCCGAGCGGTAACGGACGTCAAGGAGGAGCTTTGATTCTCACGAGGGAGAGCGGCAGCGGTCGTGGAAGACCGTGTTCCCTTCCTCGTAGAATTGGAGCTCTTCCGTGGCCAAGCACGGTGCCATCCGTGGAGAAATGCTCGCCGAGATGATCACGTAAGCAAGGTCAACTAGTATGGATGGTTATTTATTCACACGTCCCGATATCGTCGCGATGAGTACATTATGTGTGTACACTCCCATTCTTACGTTAATTTGCATAAATATCATGTGAATTACTTACCGCATGAGATAAAGGCGACAACACAATGACCATTAAAAATATCATTGTTTAGAGATCTAGATAATTTTATAGTTTCTTAATTTTATTTGTTTATAAAAGGAGAAATTTATAGTGTATTAAAAATGAGTATAGAGAGTAGATGGCAATCGCTTCCGGGTCCTCGGCCTCTCATGGGTTTCCAAAGCGACTTAGGCCGGGCCTCCCTCTCATTCCATGCGGCAAGTGTCGTGATGAGACGAAGATTGTGATG